CATACCTTTCGATTGTGATTGCCTTGCTGGTCACTGCGGTCGCATACATCTGCGGCATTGTAGGGCAGTCGTCGCTACTGCAGCGCCACGTACGCAAGTTCGTCGAGGACTACGGTACACCACTTACCGTGATCTTCTTCACTGGTTTCGTGCACATCGGAAAGATGGCTGGCATTGAGTTGCTCAAGCTACCTACTTCGAAGGCATTCTTTCCGACTACAGATCGCGGATGGTTCATCCACTTCTGGGATATTAGTGTCGGCGATGTGTTCCTGGCTATTCCGTTTGCCGTACTTCTGACTATTCTGTTCTGGTTCGACCACAACGTTTCTAGTCTAATCGCGCAGGGCACGGAATTCCCGCTGCGCAAACCGGCAGGCTTTCATTGGGATATTTTTCTCCTCGGTATCACGACTGGAGTTGCGGGACTACTGGGCATCCCATTCCCGAACGGTCTAATCCCGCAGGCGCCATTTCACACTACATCACTCTGCGTTGCACGCACTGTCGCTGATTCCGACGACGAAGACAACAAAGGCCATGGCAAACGCGTTGTCGACCATGTGGTAGAGCAGCGCGTGTCAAACCTCGCTCAAGGCCTCCTCACCCTGGGCACGATGACCGGGCCACTTCTCATCGTACTGCACCTCATACCACAAGCTGTACTAGCCGGCTTATTCTTCGTCATGGGTATCCAGGCACTAGAAGCAAACGGCATCACACTAAAACTCATCTTCCTCGCAAAAGACAAGCACCTCACATCACGATCCGACCCATTAGCACAGATCAAGCGCCGCTGGGTCATCTGGGCTTTCGTCGGACTCGAACTCATCGGCTTTGGCGCTACCTTCGCGATTACTCAGACAATCGCTGCCATTGGATTCCCGGTTTTCATCTTTCTGTACATACCCATGCGGATGTTCTTGATGCCAAACTTCTTCACGCAAGAAGAGCTGAATATTCTTGATGCGCCGACTGCTAGTCCGTTTACTATGGAGTCGGTGGGTGGTAATCATGGACAGGTGGTGGAACCGGATTCGAACGAGCAGGTTCTTGCGGAGAGTGAAGAGGCTGAGAGAGGGGAAAGGCGGAGTAGTAACGATGAGAAGATGGGTGTTCTTGAAGGGCCGAGTAGGAGGAGAGGCAGTTTCCAGAGTGCGGACTAGTCGGAAGACTCAAAGAGCAATTAGTAAAGTAGCCGGAGAAGGCCACAACGGCAGTAGAATCTACAGGCTCATGCAACGTCTTGAGAAGCGAAAGACAGAGATTTTCGGTTGAATAGTACACTAACTGCACATGTAGACATATCGCGCGATACTCTCTTGGCGCGTTGTAATCGATGGCTGTGGTTCGGAGCGGAAAACATACCTAATCGTACCCAGCTGTACTTGGCAAGGGCAGCGCCCAGACGACGGACTGTCTTGATCTCCCCCCACTTATCTACATCCATCAGCCAAGACTCAAGGATATTGCCCGCTCCAATCATGGATCGGCTGCCAGATGCGCCGAAGCCCAGCATCCAGACTTTGGGATTTGGGATTACGTGGGTGGATGCCGACGATACGTTGCTGGCTACGAAAACAATACCTTTGCACATTGGAAGATCATTGTTTCTCGAGGACTTTGGAAACACGCAGAGATATTGAAAAAGGCTTTTGTGAAAGAGAATTGATATCATCTAGCAAGTATGACACCGGAGGTGGACCGGCGGCTTCTCGGTGAGCTTACACCTGGAGCAAAGGCCTACGGCATCGCACGATAACATCGCGGGATGACTGATGAATACTCAACAGTGGGTATCATGGACATCAAGGTAGATACCAACGATGCTTGGTATTGCCAAGAATTTCCTCTGAAGATTCATAAACGGGCATGTCGAAGAGCAATAGCATGAGGTCCTTGATTACCGACTTCGTCTTCCACCAGCCTCCGGCATGCCGTCCTTCACCAAGTTGCTGCCGCTTCTGGCGAGCATTGCCTCGCTTTCAGAATCCAAACCTCTGAACCAGCCATCGTTCGTCTTCGCTCCTCTCAAAAGCACTACCCCCGGAAGCGCGCAGAACATCGTTGTCGACTACTACGGAGATGTCGACGGTGAGCTTACGATCACGTACGCGGCATGTGACGATGCTGTCGCTTCCATCGTTTCCGCGAAACAACGCATAGGTCAGACGCATGTCGGCGCTCATCCTTTGGCGAGACGCCATGAGGAACATGAGAACAGGCGGCCGAACAAATTCGTTTGGTTGACTCCGGCTGAGATGTCTGGGGGCTGTCTTCATGCCTTTCTTGATGGAGAGCTCATCGGAAGGTCCGACGAGATTGTTGTCGCCAAGCGCTATGCTCGCCGACAGGAGAGGAAGTCGTTCGTTGATGTTGCGGGGACTGATAGTAATTGGTTTGATGGCGTTGCTTACTTGCAGCAGAAACAGCCAGATGAGGTTTTTGTTGCTTCGGCCAAGAATAAGTCTTTTGGTATTCTGGGGGGAGGGATCTCTGGACTTGCGACTTCAGTACGTAATCGCATCATCCAAGATGTCAAATTCGTGCTAACGAGACGCCCCATAGTTGATGCTGGACTCCGTTGGCATTCACAACTGGAAGATCATCGAGTCGTCTCAGCGTATTGGTGGTCGCATCCGCACAGCCTATCTTAACGGCACTACCCCCGATGAAGGCCAATATCACGAGCTGGGACCCATGCGTTTCCCGTACGAGATTACAGACTCCGAGACGAACGAGACCTTCCCCTTCAACGACCAGCGCATGATCTTCCAACTGGCCGACGTTCTCAACGAACTCAACGCTGACAAGGAAGAACTTCATGTCAAGTTCATCGACTGGATCCAGTCATCTCCCAACACCCCAGCCGACAGTCCCTTCCGCCGTTCCGATGGAACAATCCCCAGCAAGACTGAAATCGCGACCGACCCTGCCTACAAGAACACCATCGCATACGGCAACGCCACCGCCGTCGAAGAAGCCAACGCCGCTCTCGATGAGTTCAAAGGGCTTGATGCAGAGCGCGTTAAGATGTACGCCACCAACATCTTCAAAGCCTACAAGCAAGCCAAAGACGACGGCATGTTCGATTACTCCGAGGTAGCCTACCTCCGTAACAAACTCAAATTCGATCTCAACACCACCGATGAAGTCGGCCAATCCCACATCTACTGGCCCATGTGGGAATACGAAACCGTCTACTTCCTCGCCTCCAAATGGGTCACCATAAAAGGCGGCCTTTCCAGAATGCCCGCCGCTTTCGAGCCCCTCGTCAAAGACCGCATCCAATACGGCGCGAAGATAAACGGGCTCCAATGGAACGAAAACAACAATACCATATCCGTATCCTGGAAGCCCACAGGCTCAGACCCCTACTCCACGCCCGACAACGTCGAAAACTTCGACTACATCCTCAACAGCGTGCCCCTCAACCTCATGAAATTCTGGTCCCTCCCCCGCTACTCCAGCCTGCTAAAACGCGCCATCGACCGCACCCTCTTCGCCAACGCCTGCAAAGTGGCCGTGCAATTCAAATCGCGCTTCTGGGAACATCTTGACAAGCCCATTATAGGCGGGTGTACACGCCTCTACCAGCCTAATCTCGGCCAGATCTGCTACCCATCCCACGACATCAACGCGACCGGCCCGGGCACAATGCTCGCATCCTACCTCTCCGACTACGAAGCCACCGTCGCGTGCGCCATGCCCGAAGCCGAACACATGGCGTACATAAAACGCGCCTTTGTTTCCATGCACGGCGAGTCCATCATCGAAGAGAACTGGACGGGTAACTACGAGCGTCAGTGCTGGGAGCAAGATGAGCACCAGGCTGGTGCATTCACGATGCAGATTGCAGGGCAGCAGACGCTGTATCTACCGGCGTTTTATCAAACGGAATTTAATACGGTGTTTATTGGGGAGGCGGCGACGTTTACGCATACGTGGATTTTTAGTGCGTTGGAAGCTGCGGCGAGGGGGACTGTGCAGGTGCTTTTGGATATGGGACTTGTGGAGGAGGCGAAGAGTGTTACGGGGACGTGGATGGCGAGGTTTATTGAGGTTTAGATGGGTTTATGCGATGATGAGTATGAATGCGCGGTTGCGAACCAGCTTCCCTCCAGGGCTCCTTTGGTAACATGGTGTGACGTTTCTTGTGGTGATGACGCACGGGTGTGCGGTAGCTACAGGACATGGAGTCACCTTACCTAGGTAGACTAGGGAAAATCTGAATAGATCTGCGGACTACAGCAACATAAAAAGATTCAAATTAGTCGACCTAACGTTGATGTAGGCTCTAGGTTGTTGAGTGTTTTCCTGAGTTGACATGGAGCCGTGTCGATGGTCAAGCGGCTGTTCGCTACTTCCTGGTTCGCTGGGTGCGCGGACGCGTTCGCGACTCACCAAAATCTAGCGCGCAATAGCGCGTTGCCATCACCACGAGCGTCCTTCCAGACTGCCACACTCCCATCACTTTGCTTGTAAGAGAATTGCGCAACAATCACGCCCGGCTTTCGCGTCACCAATAACCATACGATCTAATGTTCCGAAGAACTGCAGCGCTCTCAGCACGTGCTTCCCACAGACACCTACCCAGGTACCTCGATGAAGTCTAGATCCACTACCTTGGCCACACCTGCATACAGAGGTTTTCGAAGCAACTATACGTCCGGGGCTGACACAGCAGTGACTTCGGACTTAATGTCGTTAGGTCAAGTATCACTAATATGTGGCGCAGTAGCTGTAGGATTCATAGGCAGCTGAGAGTGTGGGGGCGGAGGCTGAGCAGGATTCATGCATGGTTGATATTACCCATACCCCGCCTGTCCTTCGTCTCACAGCGATATTGCTTGTTCACCTTCTACCGCCGCCTCACCTTTACTTGTTCATTCACCTCCCTGGGCAGATACCGCAACTGCCCATACCGTCCGAACATGCGCCTCATATCCAGTATAGCCAAGCACTACAATTAGAGCCACTGCTCATGCAGTCGCCACCCCATGGAGCAGCAAGGCTACGAGGAAGACCTCTTACGAAGATGGTTCCCACAAGACGCGGAAGGGCCCGCTAAGCACCTCACGGAGACCGACATATGCGATATCGCGGAGGTCTTGACGCGCAGCTCAAAAGATGCGTGGAGTCGTGTTCCAAGGATCTACAGTGTATTGAGGAAGATAGGACAGCTGGACGCAATCGACGCATTCATTGACGATGGATTCACAGACGTTTCTTTCCCATTCTCTGGGGCCACTCTACCCGAAACACTACGCGACCACTCTGCGCGACTCAATTTCCTCGAGTTGCAGCATCTCGTTTACGATACCCAGGCCCTCGATCTTGAACGACACGCACGTCACGGTCACTTCAGCGACCCGAAAGACGTACCGCTAAAGAAGCTTGGTGAACTAGGGAAGGGTGGTTTTGGATACGTTGATAGGGTTGTCAGCACCATCAGCCATAAGGAATACGCGAGGAAGCTCATATCGAGAGGAAGAACTTTCCGGAAGGTAGGCTCGCATATACGAAATGAGGTTTCCCAGGCTGACGAAGTGTGTCGCTCAACAGGACAAGCAGGTCTTGCGCGCTTTCACCAAGGAGTTGTCGAATCTCAAAGGTCTATCGCATAGACATCTTGTCAAACTCGCCGGTAGCTACACCGATAAAAAGTTCGTTGCCATCATTATGCTTCCTGTTGCAGACATGAATCTGCAGACGTTTTTGGAGAACACTAATCTCGACGACACCTCTCGGTCTTTCCTGAGGCCCTTTTTCGGCTGTCTCACATCGGCGCTTTCGTATCTGCACGACAATCGTATACGTCATAAAGATATCAAACCATCAAATGTTCTCATCAAGCATGACCAGGTCTACTTGACAGACTTCGGGACGTCACTGGATTGGTCTGGATGTGACAACAGTACCACGGTCACCGCCCCACCGACAACACCCCGCTATTGCGCACCAGAGGTGATGGCCTTTGTGGAACGCAATACATCATCCGATATCTGGTCCCTCGGTTGCGTGTTCTTGGAGATGTGGACGGTTTTAAAGCGTTACACGCTCGACGAATTGAAGGCACACATGTCGGACAACGGAACCCACATCAAAGAGTATCATCACAACCTCGAGGCTATTGCGGTTTGGATTCAGATACTTGAGAATGCAGCAGGGCCATCATGCGATTTGGTGCCGTCAAGATGGGTACAAAATATGCTCCAGCACAAGCCAAGATCTCGGTGGAATTGCCACATCCTTGCCAACCATATCCACGAAGCGAGTATAGACCCTTCTTCAGAGTATGCCTTCAAGGGTTTATGCTGCCTTGAGCCAGACGACGGCACTACCGATGAGACCGAATCTTCCGATGGATATTCGGAAGCTGGATCCATCACACCGTCGCTACCTTCTATCGAACGAAAGGATTCCGAGCCGGTCGTAGAGTCCGCAGCATCACCTGAAACCCAGATTGAGAACTTAGTGAGTGACGAAACAGCTAAACCTGCTGAACTGTTGTCGCGAGTCCAGCTCGATGCGCCAATTCCCCGTATATCAGTCAATGACTGCTCTGCTCCTCCTGGAGCGTTTGTCGAAGATGAGAGCGACTCTTTAGCACGTGAGCTGCATGACCCTTCAACACCAAGAAAGGCTACGGTAGACTCAGAAGAAGCTGACGCCGAACACGACGATGCAATGTACACAGCTACGAACAGCAACTTCAGTGGCTCTGACGATGAGACCCTCCAGAAAGAACAGACGAACAAAATACCGTCGCCACTCTCTTCAACTTCTTCTTTGTCCCATTCTATAGCTTCATCAGAAGAATTACCTAGCGGTTTTTCTTCCCCGAGAAGCTCCAGCACAGTTTCATGGTGCTGGGATGAACACTTGCGGCAACCCCCGAATAAATGTAGTCTCTGTATTCAGTTACTGGACCTTGCTACCGACGCTGTCAGACTCCCGTGTCAACACTGGATTCACAAGAGCTGCTATGCCAAGGACTATACATTTCTGTACTATAAATGTCCAACATGCATCTCGGCGAACAGAAAACCGGCCAGTCAAGCCAATCGTTATTTTTGCGAGTTCAACGATTGGGCTCAGAAACGCAATGAAGCTCGAGACAGGCTAAGATCTTACGAGGACAAGGAGGCTGCTGCCGAAGAGGATTGGGTCCCATATTCAGATTTAACAGGGCGAATATCCCCGGCACATCTTGAGCAGCTAAGGTCGTCTCCCACATATTCGACGCGATCAACTATGTACCCATCGGACTCTGACACGAACCCGCGAACGCGAAAGAAGCGTACCGTACGGCTAGACTCAGACTCAGACCCATACCTCACGTCACAAGCGCATGGAGTGCCTACTAGAACAAGATTCAAGAAGCGTGAGCCTAGAAGCGAGGGTACAGACACCGAAGCGGTATCTAAGAGTGACAGCTCAATGTTCAAAGTGGCTGCAGAAAGGTTTTGGAAGATAGGTAGAAAGAAGGCCGGAACAAAGGATGAAGCATCCACAAGCAAACGTGGTGCACCGAGACAGCGAACTGAACGCAAATTTGCGAACATCGAGAGTGACTCGTCGGATTCGCATGATGAGAAAAGGCGCTACGAGGCAGCCTACTGGGCTCGTACTAAGGAGCATGATCGACTCATGGCAGAAGAGCGTCGAAGTCACGAAGACATCCGATACACTGGCGCCACTCAGCGACCGAAGCCCGTCAGACACGGTGAAGCGAGAAAGCTACCGGTGCCATCAATCAGCGAAGAGATTTCTCCAGCAAGGCCAAAGTCAGCAGAACCACCTGCGACGAAAGTTTCAGCCGAAACTCGACCACGTTATTATCCAACTCTAAATAAGAAACTGTATCTCCCTGCTGAGTGTGAACCTGGTAGCGAGCATCAATACGGATCGTACTCATCCGACGACGACGACGACGACGACGACGACGACGACGACGACGACGAAAGAGGCAGAGAACCAGCGGAATCTTTCTCTTATACCGGCAATGGGCCTGAGGACATTATATGGGCCCCGAGAAGTGCTGGCGACGTCGTCAACCCAAGGCGCTCCAAGCCAGAAGATGTTAGGTGGGCTCCAAAAAGTGGCGAAGGCTACAGAGCAAATCCCCCAAGGCCTCGGTATGGGCGGACGGCTACATATGTATACTAGTATGGTTCTTGGCTCGTTCCTTGTGCTTTTGTGTCCTAGTCGATACGCCAACTTAGCCAGCATGGACGCTTAATCGAAAGCGGAACAAAGCATCGACGCAACTTTGACTCTATTTGTGCCCCTGGTCGACCGTGCGTTCAATCTACCTTCAAGTCTACGTGTTCGCCAACAGCCTCCAGAACGCTAACAAATGTATACTCTAGTCATCGCAGTAGTCGGTAAAGGTCTCTGCTGTTTCGGAATTCTACTGTCCTGCGTCATATGCTTCTTGTTGATAGTGAGATGGTACAAGTACCTCTGGTGTATGATACAGCATGCACGGATTTACGGATAGCAACAAACTGTCACGACTTGTAATACGAACATGTATGAACTTGCGTCATTAATCCTCTAACAACACCATCTATATCTACCCGTCCCAAACCCCTCTAGAACTCCACCAATCCCACAATCCTACAAAAGCGTATCACCAAGCGCACACCTCACAATCGAAACACCAGCGCGCACCGTATCACCAGCACCCTCAGCATCAAGGCTAGGGTTAACCTCAACGAGGTCGAGCGCGATGAGCTGACCAGTCTCAGCAACGCACTCAGCGATGAAGTCACCCTCGCGCAGCGTCAACCCACCGCGTACGGGAGTACCGGTACTGGGCGCCCACATGGGGTCAAGAGCATCGACGTCGAAGGAGAGATGGATAGGCGTGTCGCTTCCAATCCAGCCCAATGCCATATCCATGACTTTGCCAATGCCGTACCTATCGTCTTGTTAGCAACCATCTCCAACCACCTTGAAAGCGCGCGACATACCTGTCAATCTCATGCATACTATACGCCTTAATCCCGTATTCCCTCAAAATCTTCTTCTCCCCCTTATCAATATCCCTCAACCCAATATAAACCAACTTCTTCGGACTAATCAAATGCTCCTTCTCCAGCCACGCAAACACATCCTCTCTCTTCAATTCCTCCTTCTCCTTCTCCTCCACGAGATCCGCCAAAAAGGCAACCGGCATACCATGAATATTGCCGCTTTCGCTCGACTCCGGCGTATTAATATCCGCATGCGCATCGACCCAGATCACCGCAATCTCCTTGCCCAACCTCTCCCGCACTGCTTTCGCAGTCCCGGAAACAGTGCCGATGGCGATGGAGTGGTCGCCGCCGAGGGTTAGCACGAGTTTTCCTGTTTTGGCGTGGGCGTAGACTTGGTCCGAGACTTGCTTTGTTACGGCCGACACGAATCTGGGTTGCTTCATTTTGCAGACTTCGGGGTCGGAGGCGGGTCGTAGCGAGGAGTAGTTGTGCACTTGGCCGTCGTAGGTGACGTTGAAGTCGAGGTCTTGTTCTAGTTGCTTGATGAGGCCGTTTTCGATGAGCGCCATGGGGGCGGCGTCGACGCCGGCTTTGGGCTGAGATAAGATTGTTAATTTATTTGGGGAGGGAATGGGTGGTGGTGATGGTGGGTGGGTGGGCTTACCTGGCCGCCGCTGAAGCCGACTGCGACGATGCCTAGGTCATGCTTGTTCGGCAGGAACTTGGGCTGTAGTGTGGGTGCGGAAGTCATTTTGCTGGAGGTGAGGTTAGTCATGTGATTTGTTGTGTGGAGTTGGCAGAGATGTGGGAAAGATGGGATTGTACGTGGGTTGGTCGTCGCAGAAGTGCGACTTCTAGATAGCAAACCACCACGTCGCAAACCACGTCATCAAAAGCAATTGCAGCTGTCTCTTACCTTTTACTGTGAATTCGTATACCAATAATAAAATATCTCTTAATCTATCATGCAAAAAAGTGCTAATACCGCAATGCGTACAACAACACTCTTCCAAGGTTATCCCAACTCAACTCTGTCAAGAAGTCGAAGAAATGCGAAATATGCAGAAACCAACCCCAAAACCGAGGGCGGGCAGCCTTTTATGCATTTTATCTGCGCCCGGATACGCTTACAATCTCTTACCTAATTCCGTGTTGCTGAATTTTCCCTCCATCGTGTGCACCTGTACTTAGAGGAAGCGTCTGATGAGGCTCTCGTCAAATTTATCACTTAGGGGAAGTAGTCTTTATCTAAGGACCGGTACCGTAAGAATGCCCCCACTACCGGCCCCGGTTGCGCGCCAGCACGCTTTAGGGAGGTGGCAGGGCATGCGTGGTGTCAACGTGGCTTTTGCGAATGCTGTGGAACAGAGGAGATGTGCATCTATCTGTGAGGACTGCTGTGTAGAGGCTCGCCTTTGCTGGTAGGATGGCTCGGGGGTGCACTGGAAAAGCGATTGGTTGGGCGGGAAGGGGTCTAATCCCGGCGTGGAATGGCCGGCTGCGATCGGCTTTACCGGTTCAGCCGCATGCTGAGGTCCGCACGCGAAGCCAGGTGACCTTTCCAACGCACCGTTCATCGCAGTCACATGCACTCTACCGTGTTCAACGCCAACGCCAACGCCGCTAATGTCCGGTCCCGCAATCCGTTTCGTGGCTTCCAAGTCCGCGAAGAACTGCACAGGAACTGTTCAATTGCTGTGTCATGTCAAGCCTGGGGTTAGTGCGCAACGCAAAGGCATCGCAGCGGTCTCTGATGAGCGCATTGAGATATGCGTTGCCGCTCAGCCGAAAGACGGAGAGGCGAACAGGGCGGTGAGGGAAGTCATTGCTGGTGCGCTTCGAGTTGCGAAGTCGGATGTTGAAGTTGTTAAAGGCATGAAGAGTAGGGAGAAGACTGTAGTTGTGCAGACGGGCATGAAAGGCACAGCTGAGGAGGAAGTCAATCGCATCAGAGCAGTCTTGGAAGGCAGAAGATGAAGTTTCAAAATCGTGTCAAGGCATTACTATTATATTACTTTTGTGCCCGGGTCATTAAGGAGCGTCATATGTACAGCATGGATATCTCCATCTACCCCTTCATGTTCATTATCCAATAGACATTAAAGATCCCCACTACCACCATTTCCAGGTGCTAGAGCGAGATCTAGTATTGCCAGGCACCAGCATCTTCGGTCGCAACTGTAGAGAATCGTTAGCACATGTTTGAAATGTCAGAAGAAGCAGAAAACTTACCAGTAAGAGCGCTGAAACCGAGGCACTCATCAGAGAACTCGCCGTCCTCAACGGCACCAAACACTTGGTATCCCTCGCCTTCGCCAGCCGGGCAGGCAACGAAGCCAGTCTCGTACTCAAGGTATCCGAAGGCGTTGCCGTTGGCAGGCGCAGTGCGGCTGAAGCCAGTGACGTCGGAGCCCTCGGGCTTGGAGACGGAATGGGCAGTGGTGTACTGCAGAGCACCGCCGGGTGCAACGTAGACCTCCTGGCCACCAGGCACGACGACACCGAGGGCGAGAGTTCCCTGGCCGCCAGCCAGAACGGTGGTGTTACCTGCAGGGCAGGAGCCAGCGGGCAGGTTGGGTGGGCAGTAGGACGAGGGAGGGCCGCCGCCGAGGTAGAACTTTCCGCCGCGTGCGGTGAGGGACTGGAGGTGGATGGGCGAGGCGCTGCGGGAGGAGATGACGCCGAAGTAGCCGGTGGGCGCGGCGTCGGCAGGAGCGGTCGACGACGACGAGGGTGCGCTGCCGGTGACGGTCGCGGTGTGCGAGGGCTTGGGGCAGTCGGAGGAGATGGCAGTCGCCATGGCGCTGGCGATGAGCGTGGTGATAGCGACGGTGTACTTCATCTTGGCGAGTGTGTGTGTGTGTGGTGTGGAAGAACTTCGAAAGCGAGTGTTGTAAAGGGAGTTATAAACTAGTCACTGCTGTGAATTGCTTTTGAAAGTTTGCTGAGGATGATGACCCTTTGTGCAGCGCCGTTCGCGGAACCCTTTATAGTAATGGCCAACAGACGGACACGGTGCAGGGTATGAGGGGTTTGTTCTGTTCTACCGTCTTCCAACCTACAAAACGCGACTAAACAAAGTAACATTGACCCTCCCACCTATGTTCCCCACCGTCATTCCTCGTATCCATGCAGACGCAGCGCTGCACTGTCCCTGCAGGCTTGAACCATGCCCGTAGCAGTAATGTCCCGGCCGTTTAAGCTCACCCTAAGCATGCTTCAGGCACTGATCAGCCCGTCAATATCGCTGGAAACATGACGAAAACGGGTGAGCTAGCCCTGCGCGTTGCATCCTCGCATTGAAGCTTCCGACACGCAGACGTCATATTCAGTCCCTGACGTACCGTACCGTGTATGCATCTTGTCGACAAGCTGATCACCTCGTGTTTCAATGTCACCAGACTGACGTTGGGCAGTTCGGCTGGTTGTGTGACCTAATACGGCGGTGCCGGTCGCATCGGGCGAGAGTTTTCCCACCACACGATAACGGCATCATACGGCGGTATGTATGCGAAAGTGCCGGTGGATGCGGTGGCATTGAATCTTTCCGCATCCCGCATCTCGGTATCGCTAGCCGGTCGCTATTTGGATTTGAACATCAACCTTTCCAAAACCACCTCGATAGCTTCCTCTCCACCTCACAATTCCCATTACACAACAAATTCCCACATCGGAGGGTTATCCGTATGGCGCCATCTCCCCCAGCCCCCGTGCCACGAGGAAATGTTACCACGGTACCTGTCTCGTTGATGTCGTACGAGCTGTACACGGTGGTCGAGAAAAAACGAGGCTGGCAGAAGGACACGATCCCCGCTGGTGCCACACCCGCTACCTTAGTGCTCCTACCCACCCATCGCCACATCCGGAAATAGAAACCCACCAAACCTCGTATTTGCAAACCAGCGCTACCCGTCAAAGTAGCAGGCGACAGTAGCAGATACGAACCGGTTATATGGAGATCGTGAGGAAAGGGAACAGCGCGGAAGGTGGTAAGCGGCGGTGCGGAGGGCGGAAGGCGTCGGCACCTTTTTGTTGCGATAAGACAAAATCATGCCTAGGTGTCATGAAGTTTTTCTGCTTACGCCGGAGAATTGTCCGGAGAGACGGTGTTCTATTCTTAACGACAAAGCGCGGTAGCGGAGATGTCTGTTTCTCCGACTGCAGACTGCAGACTGCACATGTCCTCCTCATGGCAAGCACGCGAGTACCGTTCTGTCAAGTTCATGTTCGCGCATGAAAAGACCGGGCCGTCCCCTGT